CCAGGGCACTGAATTGCCGGAGAGACTGTAATTTGCTTGCAACATCCGCAAGAATAAAGGTGACGCTGGATAAGCCAAAGCCACTTGTTGGGAGTTGACAGGTCGAAGGTTCCATGGTATTTGTACCCACAGATCCAAACTATAGAAGTACAGCTTTCACGGCATCCACAACAGGAGTTATTAAGCCACCGACCATCTTGAGTGGTTGTATCCCGGTTTTAACCCTTCTTTTGCCAGTCACATAACTATGTAGCTGTCCGGTGTTAATCGTAAACTTCAATACCATTGTCTCCTGTCATGCTCATTTGTCAACTCTGATGAGTGACGAGCAGTAGGTTCCGATAGTTTTGTTATTCCGTCAGATGGTATCACATGGGCTTAGGGAATGTTGCCACCAGAGCTAATCTCTTCTTTTGATCCATTTACTTGTTCTGCTTCAGATCCACGTAATTGTCCGGTGCGCCGCTCGTAATGGTACAACTTTTGAGGCTGACTGTATGGCCCTATTAATCTTATCTTTCCATTCATTCCATGCGTCGTTAGCTAAACTGTAGGTAACAGTTAACGGTTGTCGCTGTTGTGCAGCTTAAAATAGTCTGTAATATTTCGTTGCATTTCTCTTTCTTTATCAACAATACTGGCATAGCACACATTACCTTATGCTAGGACCGAACAGTCGCAATGGCCCAGTGGAGAGTTGCATGCTGCTGACTTAACCATCAACTCTTCATTAGTCAGGGTTAAGTCCAGGAGTGATGGCTTGTTTGAACCACAATGTCTGTGTGGTAGATGCACATGGTTGTACAAAACAGCTATGCCCATGAATTCAAGGCGTTTCGACTTAAATGACAGCCCATTAGGTGACACTTATGCTATTGAACATACATTGAAGTCGCTCATTATAAAATAGTGTGAGTACTTTTGTGAAACAACATAGTGGAGAGTGTTTAACAGAATGTCTGCTGACGAGTTCGGTGGTCACTAGATAACTGCTAAGCCGCAAGTATTATGCGCGCTCTTCTGTAATCCAACAGCTCGACCTGCTAGGTGCAGTCGGCAAAATAATGCGTCGGGAATATCAAAGGATTGTTCGGTGTGGGCCTCACATTTCAAGTAATCTCGCTAATAAATGGTAACACCGCCACCGCGATGTGGACAATCATTCCGAATGAGTGACATTTCACTGACTTCAATCTCCGTTTTAAGTATGCCGCTTGAAAGCCAAGCTTCATCAACTGCTGGGAGGTCCCAAGTCGACATTTCATATGGATGCGCAGTTCCGGGAGCTTAGAATACAACCCCTGAGTGTTCGTGTGGCAGCATTGTATTTGTTGACGTAGTAGTAGCTCGGTTCGCTGTGCGTGCCCGGCACAAAGAATGCCAGTCTGCTAAAGTTTTTAAAACAGGTGTTTGTATGGTTGGCTGATCTGAAATAGCTACAACCGAGACTGGCTCATCTGTACCTGCGGTCTGTACTAATTGAAGGAATGGTCTTAACCGCACTTCTTGTGGTCCGAGTTTCCAGTTGTCATGCCACGCATGGAGCGCCAATTATACCAGTTCGGGCGTAACTAAGTTAACATTCAAAATGTTCTGCCCGCTGCCTTGAGACTTTATGAAGGCAACTAGACGGGGATACCAAGAGCCACAAATTTTGCACGTCATAGAGCTCTGTGATGTACCTCCACTTTCCGACGTCGTGCTTTTGCCGTTCACTGTTGTAGTGATGCTTCAATTCTGGCACACCATGTACCACTACTAATTTCTTCATCTCATTTTTACGTGAAGCACTAGGGGTGGAGTTCTACTTCTGTCTTTCTGTCCATGGCCTGTCAGGAAAATGCGGGCACTAACAGAGGAGTTCATTAGAATGTGGCTTGCTAAGACAGCATCCTCCAGGTCGCGTGTGTTGTCAAATGTTACTCCCAGTAACCGAGGTTCCCCTGCGTGCGGAGAGGATGGATTTCGTGAAAGACATATAAGGTGAGCTGGGAGAACATTCAGTCCGTGTGTGTAGGTTATTACAGCCCAGCGGTCGTGCTCCTCGGCTTGTCTACCTTTTAGCAATTCGCTAGTGGGTCCTGGGACGTTTGAACATAACACTGTCATGGACTTTTACTTGCTTAGCGATTGTTTGTTCTCTGCTTACTTGTAAACGGGGATTTGTCGTGTGGGAGTGAATACCTTGTCTGGTGTGGAAAACAGACCAAGAATACAGCAAGGCTGCAACGCCATAAATCGCACTATGCTTAGGAGTCAAATGTCGTTGCCTAGCTAATAACGGAGGTGATCGCACAACTTGTGCATAGCTCTGCATACCTTTCAGTTTTTCGCGAGATTTGGGAGACCGCTCAAGCGGCTTGTCATCATTACTTTTTATGACAAATGGTGTTCGTTTATTGCAGGACCAGGTAACATTTTGGCTAGCGAGTTTAGGTCTTTTAATAGGTCTTGGATTGCGACTTCGTAATAGATTAATCTGCAACTCGAGTTCAGAAATTTTCCCTCCCCATACCGCGATCAGTTCCTTTTGTCCTACTGACGTAGTAGCTAACGTTTCACATCTCATCCTATGCGTATGAACAATCCAAACTATGGGCCTAGCTGAACATGCGTCACAGAACCTAGCTGTCGGTAGGCTGCTCTTTCCGTTACGTTTACGTTTGTTACGTCCTAGGAATGGCACAGAACGAGCACGTGACTCTTGAGATTATCCCGGTTGTCAGCTTGTCTGCGCTACGTTTGACCTTGGGTTTGTTGTTAACCTGAGTTCCAGCGGACAAACTTCTCCGACCCATGGTTAAGTGGCTTGTATGAATTTGTCACGCTGGTCACACCGTTTGAGCTGCCTCAGTTGCCGCCTAGTTAGCCGGAACTGTAATCGTGTCAGCGACCATCACTCCGGTCGTTCACAACCATGTGACCGGTGAGACATTTTGAGATAGACCAACATCTACTATTGGTCAGTTGGCAATTTAGGGTGCTCTCCTCTCTCCCGAAGGCGTGACCCTTGGTCCCCGAGTAACAGAGTAAAAAGGGACAAGACTTCTGGGACTAAGGGAAGCTAAAGAATACGTTTGCGTTAAAGAACACCAGAAACAGACGTGGTCCCAGCACTGATCCTTATGGAAATGCACACTCCGCCTCAATCGGATCTGACAGCGCACCGCGAACTCTACGCTGCAGTTGCCGATACTGCGGAAAACTTCTGATCCACTTTAGAGCAAAATTCTCAACTCCGTGGCTTTCCAGCCTGTGAAACTGAACGCGGTGATCCGTAGGGTCAAAGGCTTTGCAGAAATCGAGGTAAATGACGTCGGTCCCTGTGCATTTGTCGGCCGGTTCCATCCAACTACTGCGTGCAATCTGTAGGATGTTTGAAGAAATGGAGCAATCCTTTATGACCTGTATAAGAGCAAGTGGTTGACAAGTCCTCTAGTTTATTTAAGGTGAATATTACCAGATAAAAGCAAAAGTCGCTAAAATAACGCGTGAGATACACGACTCATCAATAGGTTTGGAATAGGGCATGTGTGAGTACGAGGGGTATACAAAAAGAAACCGAAGTTTTGAAATAGCAAGGCAACCGGCAGAAGAAGCGCGCTGCACCTAATGAGCGCTGGTAGGAAGCTTGCTTAGGTAACAAAATGCCTTGTGCCGCGTTTCGCTCTGACTGTTGGTTGGAGAGCTAAAGCCGAAGAATTGAGCAAGTGCAAAAGCTGTTCGTCAGATTAGTGCCAAAGAGACAATGCAGGAGTTTGAAGAACAACGCGTATGTGAACTTTTGCACAAACTTCGCAAAAATTTTACTTAGATTTTTCAAAAACTTAGAGAGGACTGTATGAGACGCACGAGGCAGAATGTCGGTCGATGACGATGTTGGGTGGCGTCTGGGATAGTAGTCCGTAATCAACAGCACGTAAGAAATGTGTCAAACACAGAACAGTATAGAAGTTGCAGGCGAGTGAACCCAACGTGCATTGTGCAAACTACAAAAATAGGAAGCGAATCAACCAGACCGAGAAACGGTGCAGCAAGTTACCCAACAAAAACCTTTTGTGTCAGTAAAACAGGTGGATGTTTTGAAGGTTAAAACAATGGTAAAATCCAATATTGTAAGATACTGAAAGAGCGTATTTTCCAGTACACTACACGGGCCTCCCCTAGACGACTGATGGATGGACGCGTTCGATGGAGATGTTAGTGGGGGAAAACGGGAGCTGTGGATGGGTGCGAATAGATGCATGGGCTTGAACACGGGCTTCCAAGATGGGGTGTGCAGTAGAATCCGCTGGGTCCAGGCTTTTGTTACGAATTATTTATGATGATCGTGTCGATCAGAGTGCATCATCGGTTCGACATCGGGGCGGGCTGGTCGGACTGCAAACGAACTGAAACGTTGTGGCCTAGGAATTTTACGGTTGATTTGCCGAGTTCGCACTTTGTCTGATTGATTGTGACACCGTTTTAGATCAAGCGCTTGAAGAGAGTTCGACGATGCTCGAAGTGCTCTTGTTCCGATGAACTGGTTACTAAAATATCGTCGAGGTAAGAATAAGCCAAGTCCAGGCCATGAGTGACATCGTGGATAAAGCGTTGGAAGGTTTATGTGACGTTTCGTTGTCCTTGTGGCACTCTTAACAATGCAAACAAGCCGAAAGGAGTAAGAACGGCTGTTTTAGAAATGTCATCCCTGATAGGCGAAAATCAGATCGATCTTGTTGAAGATCGTCTTACTTATGAGACATGCGGTAAAGTCCTGCGTGTGTGGAATGAGACGGTTAACCGATTGAGTGCGCGGTAATCACCGCAAGGGCGCCAGTCACCAGATTTCTCGGAGACCATCTGATGGGAGAGGACCAAGGGCTGTCGAAAGGGATGATTATTCCAAGTTCGAGCATGTGCACAAACTCCGCCCTAATTACCTCAACTTTCTAGGGCAATAGTCCGTGTGGGCGACATGAGACGGGCGGGCCATTCGTCCATATGTGGTGCGTGAATTAGGATGCCACGGACAAAGCTGCGTTCATTGGCTGAACGAGCTTGGAGTACTGGGAGAAGAGATTGGCGTAGTCTGGCGAAGTCTGGGGATAGGCGTAGACCGCTGTTATAGATGCGATATCGGCGGTAATGCCACGTACACTGAATTCCATTGCAGTGTCGACTATCATCTGACGTTTTGCATCGATCAAGAGGTCGAAATGCTTGAGAAAGTCAATGCCGATGATAACAAAGGAGGCTTCAGCGAAGGTGAATACCCAGCGGAACGTGCGCCGAAGACCTAGGTCCAGGGTAAGCGACCGATGACCGTAGGTGGCTATTGGCGTGCCATTGGCGGCAGTTAGGCTTGTCAACAAAGAAGAGATAGGCTCACATGGCATAGGGGAATGACGCTGAATTCCGGCTCGGTATCAACTAAGAACTGGTTCTCGGAATCATAATCCCTAATACAAATGAGACATAGACGAACAAACGAGACTAACGAACAAACCGCGCCAGTGACAGAGAAACCAAAGAACAGCCCCATCAGCGAAAACAACCCGGAATTTAAACCGGTTGGTTTGCTCCACTTATAGTAGTAAAAACTGCGCCATATTTTTTCTCGTCCCACTGCGGTTGTATTTCTATTCAACACTTATTAGACCTACACTCAGCACCATAACGTTCTTCTGAGTACGCACTAGAAATGCCTGTTAGTAATGTGAAAACGAGAAGCGCCCTCCTCAGGCTGAAGTTGAAAACAGAAAAGACTATAAAACCCTCTGATAGCACTGCTAGAAACCCACCCGATCTTACTGTAAAAAAGGGAAGTCCATCATCAAAATTCCAAAAAAAGTCTATGCAGCTGCAAACCACTCCAACGTTACTACCACAATTCCGACTGTAACGGCAGACCGGATTATAGCCCTTGAGGAAGACGTAGCCACGCTGAAATGCAAGCTTCATGAATTCCGCACATACTATAAACAAGTGCTATCATTCTGTGAACTGCTTAGATGTTCAAAAACTGTTACACTGGACCGATTTAGTACAACCGCTTCCTTACTAGACTCAGTTACATCCGAAACGCAAGAACGCCTCCGTAGATCGCATAACGTTATCATTTTTAACGTGCCTGATAAACCGAACATCGACAGAGTAACAAATACCCTCTTATAAGTATGCACTATGGTTGGAGTCTCCTGTCAATACCTCAGACTGAGGAGAAAGGAAAACATGACCACATGTCCGATGCTCCTTCAGTTTCCAGACGATAAGAGCGCATACAAATTTGTACGCCGTAAAAGACTAGTTGTTGCACAAACTAACTTTAAAAGCATTATAATCAAACACGATCAAACACCACTTCGAAGGCGACTAACAATGAAACTTAACCCCTCCGCCCATCATACACACCATGTTCCTACTATTGAAGCCGGTACCGACCCTGTCATCAACAACCTCGACCTTGATAAGTCAACCGCGTCGTCTAAAATAGGCAATGACGGGCATCTCAGTTTTCAGCGGCCTCATGAGACGTTCTCAAACAGCAGTAGTGATGTGTCCATAACTAAAACTACCAACCAAGCTGAAAATACAACGACGCAGACATCTGCTGACCCCACACCCAACTCCTTTATCCCTTCTCCAAACCGCTAATCTTTACAAATGTTGGCAGTAACTGTACTTGAGACCTATCAAGAGGGAGACAAATATTCAGATCGTAACGTTGGAAGCACGAAAAACAAATCTAAATTCGGCCCAAATGAACTAAGCTATAGGTTATCTTTGACCAACCGAGGCGTAAACAAAACAGGGGAATGCACCCTGCCAGAATTTCTCCCATAAGCACTCAAAGCTCATTAGGTCTGAAGCAACCACCACCAGAACGTAGGGATATGCACCTAGGCCAACTGAGAAAAGTGTACTTCCTCAAGCTTCTACATGCAACACCGACACAGCTGTCGGGATAAGTCGCAGAGAGCCGGTCCAATACTTACCCACAATGTCTCTGACTACGTTTCCAAATCCCGCAACCTCAAGCTGGCAAAACCCTTATGTGCGCGACGCCGAAATAGCAAACAAGAAGGTGGTAGTTCGAAGAAAGTAGAAGCCACGATTAAAATTCACGCACAATAATATGCCTCGACGGGGAGTCGAACCCCGGTCCACGAATTTCCGGTCCGTTGCTCTACCACCTGAGCTACCGAGGGCTGACGATTAGGTGGTAGAGCAACGGACCGGAAATTCGTGGACCGGGGTTCGACTCCCCGTCGAGGCATATTATTGTGCGTGAATTTTAATCGTGGCTTCTACTTTCTTCGAACTTTACACTACTCACAAACATCCACCAAGAAGGTGGTAGGCCACACGAACTTACAGGTAAGAGGGTGCAACGCCTATCTACCTCAAGTCGAAATTCACCCACCACCACCCGCTGTATTACTCAATTGGCAACAATACAAACCGAAGTAAAATGAGTTTGTAGACTTCAGCATCCCCCACCCCTGTATACTACGGATGTAAGTCCTTTTTTAGACTACCGTACACCACCACTTCCTCCCTCACCAATCCAGCCCCTATCACGTGCGATTATGAATCAGACAATAATCAAACTATTGCAGTATGTACTTCATTCAAAACAGTACGATCTAGAGCTCAGTGTGTCTCAGCTACCTCACAACACACAATTCTCAGATACAATGACGATGAAACAAACTTTAGCCACCACTTTCATTCCATGTTCACAATGTCTTTCAATGCTGTCGTCATTAACATTTGTTCCCTTTCACCTAAATTAGCTATACTTTCAACACTTATGTTTATGAGATCCCCCGATATTGTTTTATCACTGAAACTTGGTGCACGTCAGAAATTAGTGATTCTCAGCTTAACTTCTAAAGCTATATACGTTTCCGCAAGGATCGCTCACACAAACGTGGTGGTGGCTGTGCCATATATCTTCAAAATAACCTGACTGCAATTCCCGCATATCAACCTGTGTGCAATGGCTTAGAAGATACCCTATGGCTAGTGATACCATATATCGATCTTCTAGTGGGTTGTGTCTATCGGCCACCCCGAATCAGTCAATGTGAAACCCAAAAGCTAATCGATATGATTAATGCTGCTTCTAGTACCATATACAAATCCAAAATAATGTGTGGAGAGTTCAACCTACCACATGTTAACTGGATGCTGCCTACACACAAAAACACTGCGGAGATTGAGGAGATCATCTCATGTATTCACCTCATTGGCTGGACTCAGCATGTTAGAAAGCCAACCAGAAGTGCCACTACCTTAGACCTTGTATTCACGATGGGAATCTCTTACGCTTATATATTCATTGATAATCCACTACCTGGCTGTGATCACAACACGGTGCTTTGTGATATGACTATAGATTCAACAAACGACCAAGTAAAACGTTCAAACCCATTCGTAACCTCCATCATGTGGACTGGAACTCATTTAACGAACTTATCAATACCATGAATTGGAATACGTCATTCCTAACTCACAACCCTACTGTGGCTACAAATGAGTTTATGAATATTATTGCTCTTATTGTGGATCTACTAGCACCTACTGTAAGGAGAAATACCCATGAATATAGGGGTGAACTCAAGCTTCTGTCCAAAGCCAAAATCATACTAAAGAAACTTTAAATCGTTATATCGCAGGAACAACAGCTTCTTAACAATGCTACAAATACACGAGAATTTACTACATTTACAACGGCCAACCCAAACGGTCAAAATCAAAGAAGAAACTCGGGTACTTAGAAATCCTGAGAAATTACGTACATTTATGCAACTACTGAAAAGAAGGGACCCTAAACCACTTCAGGAAATTGAAACATTGGATCTAGACGAGGATTCAATGACGCGCGACATCTCCTGTATACGCGAGGCTATGAACTCTGGTTTTGCCTCCTGTTTTCTCCCCAACATTCAGCCACTTCATCCTCCACTTCCAAGAAGTAGACCGAACTATATTGCAATAGCCCTGTGACGTTAAGAGAGGTGCAAAGTGCCATCGCAGCCATAAAACCATCAACTCGTCCAGGTCCAGATGGTATCTCCCAATTGTTATAAAACTCGGAGGAAAAAACCTCGCTCTATTGTTATTAAATATCTTCACACTTTCACTCACTACTGGCTGCTTTCCAACTCAATGGAAGCAATCCATTATAATGCCTAAGCATAAGGGTGGCCTGAGAAATGCAATGTTAAGCTACCGTCCAATAAAGCATACATCTGCTGCTTCCAAAACCCTAGAGTGAATAGTCAAGAAGAACATTGTTCAATATCTTACAAGACTGGATCTGATCAACCCCTCACAGCATGGCTTTCTCAAAAAAACGCTCCTGCGTTACATGCCAGCTACAATTTCTCGATCACGTCATCACTATGATTGACAGAGGAATGGCAATTATTATAATTGTGTTGGACATACAAAAGGCGTTGGACCGCATGCCGCACAAGCCACTGCTGTCTGCTCTAGAGTCATACGGAATTGGAAATCCTATGCTTAACTGGTTCGACTCATACCTAAACGGTCGAACTCAGGTTGTTAAAATCGGTCAGCAACATTCTACACCGAAGCCAATAACCAGCGGTGTCTTCCAGGGAAGTGTACTCGGACCGCTACTTTTCTTAATCTTTGTAAACAATATATGTGACCCGATCAAACATGGACACCCATTTCTGTTTGCAGATGATGTCAAACTTGTTTACTCATTTCATCCAGACCAACTACATATATGTTTGGGGAACATCTGTGAAGACCTAACCGCACTAAATATAGCTAGTGAACATTTGTTAAGGAAGCTCTCCGCAGTGAACTCCCAAGTACTTGGGTACAGATACCGCATCTCAGAAGGCTCCATCATACTTGCCGGAAACGTGATCCTAACGTCTGATTCAGTTCGGGACTTAGGAATTAGGTACTCCAACTCTTGCAATTTCTCCGAACATATACTTTATCAGGTTGCGAAAGCAAGGCAGTTATGCGGATATATCGCCAAAATTTTTCCCTACCTGAAGCACGACTTGAGTCATTCAAGACAATAGTATCACCGACTCTGGAATGTTGTACTATCGTTCACAGCCAATTGAGAAAGAAAGACAGAACAGCTCTGGAAAATATTCAACGATCATTTCCCAAGCTGGTCATTTGGCGCTGTTTAAACCTGAGTTATTATGATCGCTGTCGAAAACTCCAACTGGATCCACATTGGCTGAGACAATTAAAGAACAACTTCGTTCTCTTCTACAATATTATAAATCAACGAATTTACACAGACAACACCGCATTTGAACTACGGAAGACTGCAGTCGACCCCACACGTAATGTAGGCTACTTGATAAGTACAAACCTTTCAAGCCATAAAACT